GGGGGAAACAATCCTTTTCATGGTAACTTAAAGGGTTCATTGGAATAAACTTAGTCAAGTAGGTGAAATTCCTCTGTAATGAAATGTTTCAAATACTGAAGAAAGAAACAGAAGAAGACATCAGAAAATAGAGAAATACCCAAGATCCTGGATTGGTAGGATTAATTTTTTAAATGTTTGTCCTGTTTAGATAGTTTACAGATTTGATGTAATACCTACTATAATTTCAACATACTATACCTCATAGATTGAAATCTAATCATTTTAAAATTCAGATTGATGACCAAAATAATTCTAAATAATATAAGCTTTTTTGGAAGTATCACTATTCCTGATTTTGAAGTACACTATAGTTCAGTAGTTGTAAAAGCAGGATGTGTTGGCACAGAAGTAGACACATTGATCAGTGGAATGGGACTAAAGATCCAAATAAAAGTACATTCACCTCTAGTCCCCCGAAGTTAAAAATGAAACCTAAAACACATAGTGAAGGAAAGACAGCATCTTCAACAAATTGATATCTGCATGTAAAGAATATGACTTGATCTTTGTCTCTAACAGTATAAAAACATTAATTATAAATAGATCAAGGAACTCAATATTAGAAGTGAAATTCTAAAAACTTCTAGAAGAGAAAATAGTGAGTGTACTTCAGGAAACAGGCTCAGTAAGGCCTTTCTGAAAAGAATCCTGGCCGCAAAGAAAAAAGGGACCAACAATTGACTAATGGGATCTTATTAACAGATATTTGTACTGTAAAGGATACTTTACAGTATAGGCAGAGTACAGTAAAAGCAATTGACTGTAGACTCAGGTTGCAGTGTGGAAAAATATTTGAGAAATATATATCCTGAGGAATAATGCATTCTCAAGAAACCAGAGACTGTCAACCTGAAAGATCAGTACCATGTGTAGGATAGTCTCCCTTTAGTTCTTGGCTAGAGGGATCAGAGAAACCCCTTTCAAAACAATACAAGGCATTACTATTTCTTGCTGTTGCCCACCCGCACCTAGAGGTCATACCCTATAGTTGAAGAAACCACATGCTCTGATAACACTGTATGGAAAAATCAAACTGGTACTGTCCTGGAAGCTCTCTTTCTGTTGACTAGCTTTCATAGTACTTTAGCTATGCTAAAGTCAAGAACAGTCTAACCCTCCTGTGAAACTTTTGATCTACAGTAATGTCTGGCCTGGAAACATATGTCCATGACTGTAATAGTGGCATAAAAGTTATGAGAATTATAACCTCTTTTCTGGCTGAAATAAATGTTTCCTCTTTAATAAGAAACATATGGCTGATATTTATAAAAATGACCAAAGGACCCATGGCTGGGGAATCTTTGGCCATGTAGAAGAGCATACTACTATTATTTTGCTTACATAGACATACTATTAAACTGCTGTCTAAATATCTCTTTACACATAAATTAATGTCACTCTCAGTTTACATCAGAGTTTTTTTTTCCTTTTGCAGTAGATGGCAATTAATACAAATACAGCTGGCCAGAATGAAGAGAAAACATATCTGTCTTCATTCATCAATATCACACCCTCTTCCAAAACTTTACCATGAAATGGGAATTTGAAGGATTCTAAGAGATCCAGTTTTGGAAAGACTGATGCAAAATGATATCTTCTGGTCATAAAAGAACCAGTGGATTCATGATCTAGCAGATATGTTCGCATGCAAAAGGCACGAACAAGATCAATCTAGTCAATATTTCAGCACGGATAGAGAAAGGGCTCAGGAGGCCCCATGTTTATTGAAGTTATCACCCTCCTGATAGGTTGACCACGTTCGGGTGGATGGCTCCACATCCATGAATGTAAGTGCAGCACTAAGTGGGCTCAATGGGTTATTGCAAAAAGAAAGACAAGAGGGGGGGGAGGTTTGGAGACATGACTCAATGGTTCAAATCTCTTTCAGAAGTCCTGGGTTTTTAGTTTCTAGCACCCACATGGTGCCCCTCAACTATCTGTTACTTCAGTACTGAGGAATTTGATGCTCTGTCCTGACATCTATGGTCAATATAAGCAAGTGGTTCATTTATATGTAAGTTGGCAAAAATATTAATACACATAAAATATTAATTAATAAATAAATAAATAGAAGAAAAGGGCATGAAATTTTGAGGGGTTAAGAAGGTACGGGATTCAAGAAGAGTTGGAAGAAGTCCAGAGTTTCTCTGTGGGGGCAGAGAAAGAGGGCAAATAGCAGAGATGTAAAGTTCAGAGGCAGCGGAGCGGGAGCAGCAGTGTCGATAGAGGGCTGCTGTGGGAGAGAGAAGTGTGAGAGATGAAGAAGAGGCATGAAAGAAGAAGTATGAGAGAATGAATGAGTGAGAGTGAGTGAGTGAGTAAAGAATGAATGAATGAATGATGCAAAAGAAGTCTATATGAGAGTGAATGAGTGTGAGTGAATGTGGGTGTGAGAGTGGTGTGTTTGTAAAGAGAAATATGTAAAAAGATGCTGTAACTGAATATAGATATATGTAACTGGGCAGGAGAGAGATGTATGTTAAGAGAAAGACATTATTTAAGTTGGAGTAAAGAGATTATCATCAGGAAAGCATATGCTAAATCCTTTTTTCTTAGATTATCAGCAGAAAATGTGTGCTTATTTATTTTCCCCTCTGACAGACAAGTCTGGCAACCCTCATATAAGAATGTTTCCTAAAGTCTAGCTACTCTGAGGCTTTCCTTTTATTACCCTGGAGCAGATCTCAGGAGCTGGCCTCCCACGGTTCACGATAAGAAAGAAAGCTAAATAAAAAATATAAGATTGGCAATAAACTGGGCATTAGGCCTGACGTGGAGTGTGGTCAATATACTCAGTGACACTGTGTTGGAGAAAACTGATTTTTCTCTTTCCCAGTAGGAGGCAATTGCAAATAGCTTCCTGGTAAAAGGTAGAATTGGTGTCTACTTTCCCTTAACTGTGTTAGGATTTTGAACTTGGCTGTGTCTTGTGTGTACTGCCAGTCTCTGAGAGTTCATATATGCACCAGCCTTGTTGTGACTGGATGATGCTGATGTCTTGGGTATCCTCTACCTCTGGCTTTTAAAAGTTTTCTGTCTCTTCTTCTTCATAGTTCCTTGAGACTTTAAGAGATGGGTTTAATAAAGGCATCCCAATCAGAGCTGAGTGCTCCAAGGTTTCTCACTCTCTGCACATTGTCCAGTTGTCTGGCCACAGCTTCCTTTTCTTCCTCTCCCCCCAGTTCCTCCCTACCACCTCCCCTCTGTTCTCTCCATCCCCTCCCCCTCTGTTTCTATTCAGAAAAGGGCAGACCTTCCATGGATATCAACAAAATATGACATATCAAGTTGCAATAAGGCTAAGAACATCCCGTTGTATTAAACCAGTATGAGGAGTAGGGTCCCAAAATCCAGTAAGCAACAATGGAGCTCCTGCTTCCACTGTTAGGAGTCCTACAGTAGAAGAAGCTACACATCTGTAACATATACTCAGAAAGCCTAGGTCCGTTCCATGTAGGCTTCCTGGTTGTTGGCTCATTCTCTGTGAGCCCTTATGAGCTCAGGTTACTTGATTCTGTGAGTCTTCTTGTGATCTCCTTAATTGCTCTGGCTCCTACAATCCTTTCTTCAGATTGCAGGACTCCTGGAACTGAGCCTACAGTTTGCTTGTGGATCTTCATCTGCTATGACTAGTTACTGAATGAAGCCACTCTGATTACAACTGGGCTAGGCACTGAGCTGGTCACAACCATTCTACAACCTACAGACCAAGAGAGACTAGGTAACAAGGAATATTCATAGGAGGATGCCCGGATCTCCCCGGGAAGGAGAAATAGAAGAGATTTCATGAGTGGACGGAAGGCAGGTGGGGATGGGAACATGGGTGAACAGGTTTGGGGGGAGGGGAGAGTACTGAAAAAAACCTACTGGGCAGTGGTGCATTTGGGGGACAAGTAAAAACCTGGTGCAAGGGAATCTCCATGGAGTTTACAATGATAACCCTGGCTAAGACTCCTAGCAATAGCAGAAATGTAGCACAAACTGGCCATCTCCTGTGATTTGTTGTCCTTCCTATTTATAAATTTCTGTGATCTTATATTCCATTGAAAGATAAACTTTCTTTGCTTTTTTTCAGTTTTTCCTTTTAAGTGGTCTGCTTTTGTTTTGTAGGAGTGATTACTTCCTAATATCGTTGAGAATACTAGATATGTTTAAAAATGAAAGGTGTTGCCCTGCAACTCATTATATAGATCAGGTGGCTTCAAACTCATAGAGATCTACCTCCTTCTGCCTCCTAAGTGCTGAGGTTAAAGGTGCTGCCACTATGTCTGGCTTTTATAGCATGTTATTCTATATGATCATTTTGTGTGTGCTTAGAGCAAGTGGATACCCAGCTTTCTCTGTAGTTCAATAGTATTGCTTACTTAACATTTCTCCCAAGTAATAGTAATCGAGTTCTCTAAAGATTCAGTGTGTTGAAGTGGATGTATGTCCAGTGATCAACTTCATTTTTATGAGTTTGGGAAACAGAAGAGATATTTATTCACTTTCAACTTGGACATATGTGTTTCTTCCAGTAATTCCTAAGAAAGAGTTACTGTAATGACAGTGAAATACTTTTTTAAAGTGATTTTGCTTTTATTTCCTTTACATTAAGCCAGTCATGAAATTTCACAGTAATTTCTGAGGTGGGGCAGAAGGAAAGTGTAATCAGAATGATCAAGACCATGGCCTAGTTGGCCTGAGAAGGTGCAAGCCAGGGAGGCCTCACTGAAGAAGCTGGAGGCGCACCGATGTTTCAAGAACAGGAGAGCTGGTAAGCAATGTCCTCATCTACTCCAGCTTCCGCAGCTCAATCAGGCCATCACCTGCCATGGCCAGTGAGTTGATGATCAGCCCGGCTGCCTTGGAGTCACCCTCAGCAAAGATGATGGCTGCCTTTGTCTGCTACCCAGCCTTTTCCACACAAATCCGGCCCTCTCTGCTTCCTGCTGAGCCATCTGTTTGGCTCCCACTGCTTCTGTGAACTCCTTCCTGAAGGTCAGATGTGTCAAGGACACGTCATCCAGGATGAGCCCAAACGTTGGTGCTCTCTCTGTGAGGTCATCACTCACCTGCCTGGAGACCAGCGCTCGCTGCGTGATCAATTCTCTAGCATCAAAGCGAGCCACTACAGACCGACTTTAGGGGTCTCTGTAGTGATGGGAGGCAGCACCCGCTCATCATAGTCCTCGCCTATGCTGCTGTAGATACGAGGGAGCTGACTGGCCACGGGCTGGAAGAGGATGGGTAGTGTGATGTTGACGTTCTGCAAATCTTTGCTACCAGTGATGACTGGTACATTTTGTGATTGCCAGCGGCAGTCAAATTTAATTGGATTCTGTGCCCAAGGGATGAGAAAGTGAGTCCCTCCCCCTACCACAATGTTCTGTACTCCACAGAATCGGTCAAAGATTACAGCTCTGTGCCCAGCATCCACATTATATAAGACGGAGTTCATCACGCCTCCTGCAACTGCTAACATTAGGCCGAACTTTACAATGGACTCAAACACTTTGGCAGCCATGATTCCTTCTGTAGCAACCAGTCACACCTGCTTTCACTCTTACCTCCACAAGAGTTCCCCAGCCTCAAGTACTACCCAAAGTACGTTTTTAAATTAAAATATTATTGCGTTTCCTTGCTTCCTTTTCCTCTCTCCACCTTTTCCCATGCGTTCCTCCTACAACTATGCCTATGATCCCCTCACTCCCTCTCAAATTTGTCCTATTTTCTTTAATTATTATTACATATATACATAAATATGCCTAAATATACAAATGTAACTAGATGAATCAATTTAGTGTTGCTGGTATGTATATGATGCTGGAGATGATAAACAATTAAAGGCTTGGTTCATGCAAAAGACTAATTCTTCCTCTTTCAGTAGTCAACTATTAAGGGTTAGTGAGGTCATGGGTCTTAGAGAATCTGAAAGGAGAACTTACTACAATGAACCTACTACTGCCAACTCCTTCTAAAGCTTATGTTTATACCCATAGTTAAGTTTAGTTATCACATCTCATCAAATAAGCTTCTTTATGAAGTAGGTGGAGATCATTACCAAAACCCACAGCTTGTCAAAATGCAGAGACCTATTGATCATGCGGTGTCCAGACCAAATAGATACATCTACAATACAATGCACATTTTCGCATAAGGCTTAGCGGACATTGCAGAAAAGGGAACAGAAAGATTATAATAGCCAGATAACTAGGATGCCCTATAAGATAACTTCTACTAGAAATAACAGGGAAGTTACATGTATGATAACTCAATAATGTGGATACCCAAACACATTTCTGAAGGGAAATGGAGAGAGAGTGTATTTGAGAAAGAGGGGAGGTTGAGGGAGTGGGAAGGAGTGAAGAAAGGGGAAAATGTGGTCAGGATGTGTTGTATGAGAGAAGAATCTATTTTCAATAAAAAATACCAATAGATGTGCTAACACAGAAGGGAAAATTTCTCTGGGGCCCTCTCCTGATAGAATATCTTTTTCTTGAAGTCTGCAGGATAAGGTTTTGGTTAATTTAGCACAGGCTAGGGTCATCTGGGAAGAGGGGACATCAGTTGAGAAAATGCTCTCATCATTTTCTTGATTAATTTATCTTGGAGAATCCAGCTCACTTGGGGTAGTATCACTCCTAGGCAGGTATTTCTGGGTTTTGTAAGAAAGTAGGTTGATCAAGCGATAGTGTGCAAGATAACAAGCGGTGTTCTTTCATGTCTTTTGCTTCTAATCCTACCTTCAGGTTCTTAACCTGCTTGAGTTCTGGCCCTGATATTCCTTCAAACTGAACTGTGATTGGGATATGTAAACTAAATCAATCCACCCTTCAGTTTATTTTGGTCACGGTCTTTATCAAAGCAATAGAAAGAAAATTAGAAAAAAACTATATTAAAGATTTGTTCTTTCATATAATGAATTATGAGACTTATTTACCTTGAATGTGTAACATACTATGTGGTTAATTCGTACAAATGATACACAGCTATTTTACAGCATATCCATTCTCTTTTGAGGGAAATATGTTATATATTTAAATAGGAACATTACTTGTTAGTTTTTAAAGTATTTATAACTTCCTTCTATTTATATTTTCTTTTTCCTTGTGCTATTCATCTTTTTGAGGTTATATATCCTGCTATTTGTTTTGTTAAATTATCTATGGATTTATACCTTGCATTAAAAATTGTCACATTATTATACTGTTACGGTTATGACTCTTCAGCTGCAGTTGACATGGAATAGTCTAGGTGGGTCAGGCATGCCTTGATTAGCAGTAATCTTCCTACTACTGCCTCAGGAGTGCTGGAATTAGAAGCATGCATCACCATGTCTGGATCTCAGTGAATATTTTAGTTGTTAGTTTATTTTTAATCTCCTGCAGATCATTCTAGATTTCACTTACATCTACTTTGTTTCAATCTTGTACCTTTTTATTTTCATTTTTCTGTAGCATGAATCTAATTGATATTAATAATAAAAACCCAGAGTCAGATATTAGGGGTGAAAGCTGAAAGATCAGAAAAGCTGAGCAGCCAGCCACTACTTCTTACCTGTACAAAATACTCAGACTGAATGGGGTATCATGTCTCTACAAGTCCTCAGACTGAATGCCGTCTCTATGAAACATCAGACTGAATCCTGAGCTCCTGTTTCCCCTTACCTTATATTCTTCTCTCCACCCAGCCATATTCCTTCCTGTCTCCATCTCCCCAGTGCTGGGACTAAAGGTGTGTGACTCCCAAATACTAGGATTAAAGATGTGATCCACCATTGCCTGACGGTCTCTTTTAGACTGGATCAATTTCCTGTAGCCCAGGGTGGCCTTGAACTCCCAGAGTACCTCTGTCTCCCACGTGCTGGGATGAAAGACATGCAGCACCACTTCCTGGACTCTATGGTTGACTAGTGTGTCTAGTTCTGGACTCTGATCTTCAGGCAAGCTTTATTTGTTAAAACACAAACAGAATATCATCACATTTCTCTCTTTATTGATATGTTTTCTGTTTTCCCCTTGCTACTTTTCTTTTTCTATACTCATGGTAGACACTGTAATTTTCCAAATTGTTTCTTCTGAATTCTACAATTGAAATTTTCCAGAGGTAATTTATTTCCTACTAAAAAAAACATAAATATCATTCTGTACTTTTCTCCATATAAAATTACATTTTTAACTTTCTATTTACTCATGCACAGCTACCTCAAACCATTGCTATGTCAAACCAGGTGATTTCATAGCACGCATGAAGCCCTGGGCTCAATACCTAGGACCACATAAAATGTTTGTGGTGGCACGTACATAGAATTTAACCACAAGGGTGGAGAAAATAGTAAAATCAGAAGTTCAAGGTCATCCTCAGTTACATAGCAAGTTCACAACAAGCCTGGGCTAGATGAGATTTAGGCTCAAGGTAAAAGGAAATGAGTCACCTTAAACAATGAAAGAAATATTCAGACTCTGTATATGTCTATCAATAAAACAAAAATATATCTGCTTTACACTTTTTCCTTATGTTCTGACCCTTCATATGGTTCTTGAGTTCTCTGGCTATGAAAATATTATTAGACAGACATTTTCTATTCTAGTCTGTGCTAACTATGTGAGCTTACTAAGCACTTAGAGCTTACTAAGTGCTCTACTCTTATCATTTAATGGTTCTCTGAATAGAAAAACCAAAATTTCTGCTCTTTTATTACACCAGTGTTTTCCTTATTTCCCTGGATAGAGTATTTTAACTGTGGAAAACGAAATGCTCCAGTTATCATTAACCAATCATCCTGGCTACCATTCCATCTTAAAAAAAATTGTTCTCTAGAAGGCAGCATGCTTTGATTTAAGGGAAAAACAGTTGTCAGGCCCTTTTCTATTTTCTGCATTATTTAGGTAGCATACTCAAGATTTTATTATGTCAAAACATTTGAAATTGATTTTCAGAAAAATCAAAATAGTCTACATTTCATGCAGCTTAGTTTAATAGTTGTTATAGAAACTAGGAATCTGACTCACACACAAAGGGAGGGCAGGTACACACTGAGCTTTATTCTGACCTTATATTTAGGAAGCAAATTTTGTCATGAGGTAATGCCCAAGCAGTTTATTCTTAAATCATATTTGTGCTAGTTGTGGTTGACTTCTACATACTCAGGATAGGTAGAAACTTCCTCTGCTGTGATTGTGAGAGTTCATAGATCTTCTAACTATTTATGTATGAGTAGAATATTCATAAGTGTCTTATAACTATCTTGAAAAGAAATTCAAGAATGAGTATCATAATTGATGCTGTAATTAAAAAACATGATCAAAAGCAACTTAAGGGAGGAAAAAGTTTATTTCAGCTAATAGGCTATATATCATGATTGAAGGAATTCAAGTTAGGAACTCAAGTGAGAAAAGGAAGCAGAAAGCATGGAGGAATGCTACTAAGTGGCTTGCTTCCAGACCTATGCTTATATAACACAGGGCCATTTGTTCAAAGAATGGTGATGCTCACTGAGGGCTGGGTCATTTTCTATCAATTAGCAATCACGACAGTAACCAAAAGACATGACCATATGTCAATCTGATAAAGGCAAGTCCCCAATTTAGGTACTGTCCTCATATGACTTCATGCTATGTCTAATTGACAGTTAAAGGTGCCCAGAAAAAAATGTACTTTTGGCAACTTTACACATAAGCACATCAAGGCAAAACCATACATGTCTTATCTTACAAGCTCTCTTGTGAACATCACAATGGAAGTCATGATGAAAAATTTACAATTCCCACAGTATTTGGAAAGACCTCCCCTGCTCTTGGATTGGGAGAATCAACATAGTAAAAATGGCAATTCTACCAAAAGCAATCTATAGATTCAACGCAATTCCCATCAAAATTACATCAAACTTCTTCACAGACCTTGAGAGAACAATAATCAAGTTTATATGGAAAAACAAAAAATCCAGGATAGCCAAAACAATCTTATACAATAAAGGAACTTCTGGAGGCATTACCATCCCTGACTTCAAACTATATTACAGAGCAACAGTATTGAAAACAGCTTGGTATTGGCATAACAACAGAGAAGTCGACCTCTGGAATCGAATAGAAGACCCGGGTATTAACCCACAAACGTATGAACACCTGATATTTGACAAGGGAGCTAAAGGTAAACAATGGAAGAAGGAAAGTATCTTTAACAAATGGTGCTGGCATAACTGGATGTCAACCTGTAGAAGAATGAAAATAGATCCACATCTATCACCATGCACAAAACTCAGGTCCAAATGGATTAAAGACATCAACATTAATCCAACCACTTTGAACCTGATAGAAGAGAAAGTGGGAAGTAGTCTACAAGATATAGGCACAGGAGACCACTTCCTAAGCAGAACCCCAGGAGCACAGACAATAAGAGAAGCAATAAATAAATGGGACCTACTGAAACTGAGAAGCTTCTGTAAAGCAAAGGACACTGTCAGTAAGACAAAAAGGCTACCTTCCGACTGGGAGAAGATCTTCACAAGCCCCTCATCAGACAAAG